TTTTTTAAGACAATTGACCCCTGTGACCTTGAATATAATTGAAGGTCATTCATTTGAACAAACTTGGTAGCCCTTCACCCTAGCATGCTACTGACCAAATATCATCTCCCTGGGCAGTTTGGTTATTGAGAAGAAGTTGTTTAAAGTTTTTAACATATTTGACCCCTGTGACCTTGAAAATAGATGAAGGTCATTTATTTGAACAAAATTGGTAGCCCTTCATCCCAGTTTGCTTCTGGCCAAATATCATCACCCTAGGCCTTTCGGTTATTAAGAAGAAGTCGTTAAAGTAAAATATTGACGCCGGACGCCGGCCGGACGCCGGACACCGCACCACGGCATAAGCTCACTTGGCACTTCGTGCCAGGTGAGCTAAAAAGGGCAATAACTCTGACAAAAAAATAGAAATATTAAAGATTTTATGTAATTGTCTAGAATAACCTGTTAAAATATGTACACCTCATATGGTCCCAAAAGTCACCAAACAATTTCCTTAAAATCATAACAAAAACGTTTTAACAACAATAACGTAACAAAACACTGTTTTTCTATTCAACTTAGATGTAATGCTACCTATCGTCTTTTGGAAATAAACTCAAATCCTTCGAGTCATCATCTTTTATTTTATTGCTATAACTGAAGGAGGTTTCGGCCCTAGAGTGTTCGCTGATTGATGAGAGTTCATCGTCGGAGGTAGACACACCCTGAAACATGAACATGTGACTAGAGTTGGAGGATTGCGGAGGTTTGTACTTCGTTGTCTGCTTTGTCTTCGTCTTCGTGAACAGTTTGTACGCAAGCACTATATTCAGCACAGCACTGATGGAGGCCACCAATCCTAGACCCACAAAGCCCATCTGCATTAGCCTGAAAACAAACACAGTGTACCTATAGTCCTAGCGGATGGATTGTCATAATTACTCGGCAAAATCTAAATGTTCTGTGAAATCAGATATTTTCGTAATTTCATGGTTTCCAAACAAAACACCATTTCATATGTACATGAATTTGTGGATTATGAGTACCAACTCAGACGGAGAACTGCTTTACGTCAAACTTGTAATTACTTTGTGGACCTATGAGTTCGTGGATTACGAGTACCCACTCAGACGGAGAGCTGCTTTATGTCAAACTTGTAATTACTTTGTGGACCTATGTATTTGTGGATGAAGATTTTACCCATGAAATCAACGAAATTTCAATCCCCACAAAATTATGTTTTTTCACAGTATGACGCTACTAACAAAGATTTACCATGACCCTGTAAGTAAATGTTCTACCTTGGCAACACAAACCTGGAAGTTACCTGTGACAAAGGTTGTGTATCATAAAGTGGGTAAATTTAGCATTGAGCTTTAATTTGGTGTTATGGTTGGTCCACATCTAGATCTGAACAACATTTGCAATGCTTTTTGATTTTCACTTAGCCCCAGACTGGCCCAGATATTAACAAATGACATTAAGATTTGTTAGTTGCAAAAAGCAGTATTTGGTTAACATTACATACATTGTGAAGTGAGCAGTTTTCATGATGCCTAGTAATTCTGCATACCTGGTCATATTTTCAAATAATGAGATACAAACATCGATGTACCCCCCAATACATGATATCCTGGGTATAACAAGACTTGTATAATTCTCTAATTAAGGGCTGGTGTATATAACCATGACTGATCAATAACTCTATAAGGCACTCAATAACGCAAGGTCAGAATGACACCCTGATTTTTGTTTTCAAGGTTATAAAGGTGCTCTAAAGGTCAAATTTACATCAGTTCTTTGATTTGTTAATTATATGGCATTCTCTATTCCTCCTTTCTATGTTTACATTCATGCCATAACTTTAAAATGTCATCTAAAATCTGTTTCTTACAAAAGAAATATATAATATTGTAATGGTTTGTTCTATGAGGAAAAGCTTTAAAAATTTATGAATGAAGATATCTATGTGAGATATTCAACAATATGCTCTACTTATAAATACTTGCACTGTAAATTGTTATAGAATAAAGATTTATATTGTCTCTTGTTAAACCACATAGACATTGAACTTTTATTTCAATAGCCTCAGAGTTGTAGCTATGGACATGCTTTTATACACCTATCACATGGCCTAGCTTAAAAGGTTCAATCACTCGGTGTCTGACTTTAATCATAAATAAACTGTGGATTGTTCCCCGAGGGCTTACTTGTACAGACAGATAATGGACTATAATCAAAACAAGTGACGGACACATATACATGTTGACAAGACGTACTAATAGTCTATGTAAGGTAGAAATAGAAATATGGACTAAAAATTAGAAATACAACTATTGAATTACTGTATCAAATACACTTAGTACAAGCTAGGTAATAACCCTAAGGGAATTGTTGAAGTTTTAAGGATATATATGCATTTAATGATAAATGTACAGATATTAAACAAAATTCTCATTACAGAACTGTTGAAAGTACCCTGTTACTTTGACCTTAAATAAACTACAGTACTTGTCCTGGAATAAGCCCAAGTGGCCAACAAAATAAACTCTGAATCGAAGAAGGGAAAGGGTTGTTACAAGACAATGAAATAGATTTTGGCATCATTTCTACTGGACTGTATTTGTCGTGGGTGGACTTATTACCAGACATGGGCTTATTGCTGGATAGAAATGGTTTAAACATGTTAGTGTACAATGTGTTACTATATATGTATACATGCTTATTGCTGGATAGAAATGGTTTATACATGTTCGTGTACAATGTGTTACTATATGTGTATACTGGCTTATTGCTGGATAGAAATGGCATATACATGTTAGTGTACAATGTGTTACTATATATGTATACTGGCTTATTGCTGGATAGAAATGGTATATACATGTCTGGATAGAAATGGTATATACATGTTAGTGTACAATGTCTTACTATATGTGTATACTGGCTTATTGCTGGATAGAAATGGTATATACATGTTAGTGTACAATGTGTCACTATATGTGTTTACTGGCTTATTGCTGGATAGAAATGGTATATACATGTTAGTGTACAATGTGTTACTATATATGTATACTGGCTTATTGCTGGATAGAAATGGTTTATACATGTTAGTGTACAATGTGTTACTATATATGTATACTGTCTTTTCCACTTGGTTCACATTTAGGCAATTACTCCTTGATATTAAACAGAATTCATCAAGCCATCACTGTATAACTCTAACCAAGTCATGCCAGGAAAACATGAATCAATCTAAATATATTTGCATTGAAGAACATTTGTTATCTTCCCATTGTAAAACTATGCATACAACATTTACACAGACAACATACATTAAGGAAATTAACCTGTAGATTTTTTTTCTTGTAAAACACAAAATTATTTCAAATCTGATTGAAATCAAGAGTTTCTGGTGGTTCCTGAGACAACACAGTGGGGGTAATATGATGAGGAATGCTTTATGAAATTTTGTTGAATACTAATGGAATTAAATCATGCAAAACCAAAGTGCATGACACAAATAAAAATAGTTTCGATGTTACGTTGGTTTTTTCTTCTATAAGGATAAATGATTTTCATATCTTTAATTGGAGTATATATATTGATATCAGTACATCTGTATAAGATTTTTTCTGTAGTTAAACACATAAAACCTAAAACTGTATTACACATCTGATATACTTGAAATGGTAGACTGTTCAGGTACCTGTAGTCCTCGGACTGATCTGGGACTAGCTGTCTCTCTTTAATGGTGTTCTTGGCGTAACACTGTCCAGCTGGAACAAAAGATGTGAAGTGTGCTGTGGTGTACTTATGATAATAATTAGTCAATCACTCACTGTCAAAAAAGATGCATTTAATCAATATTCAAATCATCAATGGTCAGTCTTTTGTCACCATAAAGAATTTGTTTTACAGATTTTCAATACAATTTGACAATTAAATCTTAAGTCCATTTTTAAGCCAATAATTTTCAAACATAATTCTTTCAGTAAGGCCATTATTCAGAGAATGTGTTTTGTTCTGATCTGAAATTTCAATATTACAGTGTTTCAAGGAACTATGTTTAATGCATTTAAATTGTGGTAATTATAGAACTTTATGTATATACAAACCTAGAGACAACGTCTGGTCAAGGTCGGTAAAGTTACAGCTTCCTGTTAAGGAGTGACATGGGCAGCCATCTTGGCACATACACAACTGATTACAGTGTTTACCATAGTAACCAAACGGGCAATCTAAATAAAAAGTAGACCATTTGTGTTTTAAATGTTATTCAGAAATGTAATATATATCACAAAAACTAATTTTAAATACCCTGCCTACCTATATGTATGAGTTGCTTCTAAGAAAATAGAAAAGAAAAGCATGACTGCCTTACAGAAATAGAAAGTTTGCAGCGAAATCGCGGCGCACAAATCAGTTTGCCAGAACATGTTGCCAGAAGTGCACAGAATGTCGCCAGAAGTGCACCACAGATAAGAAATTCCCATGATCCCCTGTTACTTGTCTAAATATAGTTGACCCCCAAATTCAAAAATCACAAAATGGCTGATGAATGAAGGGAGAGCTCATGGTGAAAGGGAAAGTTGAGTGAAATGAGGAGGCTTTAGTCTTTTTTGGATAAAGTGATAGCATTCCTGAATCTTATAAGGTAATGTAGAATATGTTTTCTTCTATTTTTTTGATAATCCATGGTCACAAAACATGTAAAAACTTAACTGAATTACTGTTGTGCATTTTCATACAACTCTGTATAAAGTTTAAATTGTGTCATACACAATTCTACTACATGTATTTAGCAGTGTAGTACATCATAACATAACTACTTTAGGTTTTGCTGTAATATTTTTACAGAAGTTAATGTTGCTTCTATAATATACAGAACTGTTTCTTCTAAAAAAGTTCATACTTATACATTATATTACATAAGTGATAACTACTATTAACAAATATCCCATTGTGAAATAATTAATATATATGTGTTGAACTTTGTATATATTTGAGTGTGGGAATCCTAATCTTGCTTGCCAAGACTTGCAGAGTGGGTGAGTAATAATATATCACCAGAAACCTAGCCTGTGGCGATATCGCCGCAAGTGCACCAGTACATTCTGGCTATATCGCGGCAAGTGCACCAGAACATTCTGGTGACATTTTGGTGATAACTCTGCAACTGCACCAAAATATTCTGGTGACATTCTGGCGATATCGCCGCAAAACATAACTGCACATTCTGGTGACATTCTTGTTATCTCGCCCCGATCGCACCAGAACCTAGTGAGGCTTTTAGAGCATTGGAATGAGTTTGCCACAACATCACCAGAAACCTGCGGTGATATTCTGGCGATATCGCTAGAAACCTAATTTGCATACGAAATCTGAACATGTGGCGATATCGCCCACAATAGTGTGCCAGAGACTGAATATTTCTGTAAGGGATATCGATAGACATGAACAATGGAAAATGAAATACTGACAAAGTTTTTTTTTAAACTGTGCTATTTTTATAAAGCCATTGTGCTGAAACTGTGGCCTAATCAATATGCAGCTAAATAATTGTGAGGGAAGTTTGCTCAACTCTAAACTTGGCCTAGTTTAGAACTGTATATTATACATACTTACCAAGTTTAATCACAATCAAACAAATTTAAGCAAGTTATCATGCTGAAATCAAAGTCTGGACAGACACTCCCCACCCATACCACAAATTAATACATCTCATCCACATTCACCATAAATGGACCAGCTTTTCACCATTTCTAACCCCTAGAGCAGTCTTCTTCACACATCAATCATGTACTACTTTTCATTCCCATAAGAGATCTTGACAATAACACCTGTATTTTATATAGGTAAACATGTAGTAAATGGTTAAAGTTTAATTATCTGCCCTTACCTTGGTCACATGCCGCACCTGTTTTTCCGGGTGGACAGTCACATGTTCCATCTATAGGGCTACAGCTGGCTCCATGTAGACACATACACTCATGGATACAACCTTTCCCATAGTGCCCCGGCAAACATGGCTGACTGCAGTCATCTCCATGCCAACCCGGTTCACATATACATCCATCTGAAATAAATAATTATCATGTTTCATAAATATATTTAGAAACATATACACATCATAACACATATTGATATATAATTATATTTCACTTGACAAGTACACATATACATTGTGTTTTAATTGTAACTTAGAACTGACCTTTGGTACAAATTCCTTGAGATGAACAGGCATTGAAACACTGCAGCGTGTTACAAGCTGTACCATTCCATAAGACGTCACACTCACACCTTCCCATATTGCATTTTCCGTGACCCGAGCAATCTGTGGGAACACACTGCACTTCATGGACACACAGAATGGTAGATACTTTTCTTGCACAATGGAACCTGGAATCATCCGCACTAAAACCAGAAAAAAAGAAGACATTGGTTATCTTTTATTTTGCAAATCTACAGAGGAATACAATAACAACAATACCTTATAATGTCAATGGTTATTCCAAAGTAGATATCTATAGGAGTATGTAGCAGTTGAACATTTAAAATTCATTAAAACCAGAAAACTCTCTTCCCTACGTAGACCTTCTTCTAGCAATCTACAGAGGCTGATTTAACAGGTAAGCTTAAAAGCAACAAGAGGCCCATGGGCCTTAACGGTCACCTGAGTCCTACAGTATTTATTTTTGTTGTTGAAATATGTACCAATTTAAGTAAAAAATAGTTAAGTATAATGTTAACTTAACTTTGTCAGGACCATGAGCTGATCATTCCTAGACCGATTTTAAATAAGATCGGCCTATTATTAATTGTTTTTAAGTTTAGAATAGGTATTTACAAAATAGCGACTGTGGTGGCCATATTGGATTTCTGATTGACCTGAAAAATAACAACACTTTGTCAGGACCATGAGTCGATCATTCCTACCAACTTTCAGTTCAATCGGTCCAGCAGAACTTGACTTTAAGTTTGAAATAGGTTTTCAAAATGGCGGCCGTGGCGGCCATATTGGATTTCTGATCGACCCGAAAAATAACAACACTTTGTCAGGACCATGAGGCGATCATTCCTACCAACTTTCAGTTCAATCGGTCCAGCAGAACTTGACTTTAAGTTTGAAATAGGTTTTCAAAATGGCGGCCGTGGCGGCCATATTGGATTTCTGATCGACCCGAAAAATAACAACACTTTGTCAGGACCATGAGGCGATCATTCCTACCAACTTTCAGTTCAATCGGTCCAGCAGAACTTGACTTTAAGTTTGAAATAGGTTTTCAAAATGGCGGCCGTGGCGGCCATATTGGATTTCTGATCGACCCGAAAAATAACAACACTTTGTCAGGACCATGAGGCGATCATTCCTACCAACTTTCAGTTCAATCGGCCCAGCAGAACTTGACTTTAAGTTTGAAATGTAAAATGTTAACGGACGACGGACGACGGACGACGACGGACGAAAACGGATAGCAATAGGTCACTTGAGCTAAAGCTCAGGTGACCTAAAAATACTAGTGGACTCTTTTATGAAAAAAAACTTTGGGGTCAAACAAGTCTCAGATCACTAACTAGTCTTCCTGTTTTTAAAGACACCTGTCAGGTAAAGAAACAAGAGGCCCATGGGCCTTAACGGTCACCTGAGTCCTACAGTATTTATTTTTGTTGTTGAAATATGTACCAATCTGAGTAAAAAATAGATAAGTATAATGTTAACTTAACTTTGTCAGGACCATGAGCTGATCATTCCTAGACCGATTTTCAGTGAGATCGGCCTATTAGAACTTGTTTTTAAGTTTGAAATAGGTATTTACAAAATAGCGGCCACAGCGGCCATATTGGATTTCTGATTGACCTGAAAAATAACCACACTTTGTCAGGACCTTGAGTCGATCAGTCCTACCAACTTTCAGTGCAATCGCCCCAGCAGAACTTGACTTTAAGTGTGAAATAGGGTTTTTTCAAAATGGCGGCTGTGGCGGCCATATTGGATTTGTGATCGACCCGAAAAATAACAACACTGCCAGGACCATGAGGCAATCATTCCTACAAAGTTTCAGTTCAATCGGCCAAGCAGAGCTTGACTTTAAGTTTGAAATAGTTTTTCAAAATGGCGGCCATGGCGGCCATGTTGGATTTCTGATCGACCCGAAAAATAACAAAACTTTGTCAGGACCATGAGGCGATCATTCCTACCAACTTTCAGTTCAATCGGCCCAGCAGAACTTGACTTTAACTTTGAAATGTAAAATGTTAACAGACGACGGAGACGGACAACCGCGGACGAAAATGGATAGCAATAGGTCACTTGAGCTAAAGCTCAGGTGACCTAAAAAGGGTGCAATACCACTGCACAAAATTTGATTATAAGATACAAATGTCAATACAGTAGTTTGACCAATTATTGGTCAGTCTCAGTCCATTCTCAAACCCACCTTAATATTAAAAGCTCTAAAAAGCCCTGAAGACACCTATTTTAACGGAGTATTTCTAAAAAAAATATGTTTATATCAGAAAAAAAAGGTCTGAATGTGTCACAAAGCAAAGTCTTTAAATGTATAACAAGAATCAACAACCATATTTATCTGTCAATAATCTCATATCTGGTGATAAACCCTGAGCAATATCTATTACAGTTTGATAATAATACCGACAAATGCTAGTTCGTTGTCCTGTTATAAGTTAATTTCCTACTTTTATCCAAGATAATTTGTTTACACTGGGCTTATTTTAGAATAAATCCAGAATGTATTATATAAAACATACCACTTGTCTGAAGGGTAGTTGACAACTGTCCCATTAATGATGTATGTAGATGATCCTCCTCCATCAAGATTTATAGCGTCAACTATGTCGTACCTCAACAACAGTCTGGCAAACTCTTCCAGACTTACTCTGCAAAAGAAAACAATCAAGGATACAAGTACATGTACAGTGAATATAATGAACATATGCTTTTGTAAAAAAAAAAATGTACTGTATGTTTGCTGTAATATCTCACTAGCTACACACAGTTAATTCCAGTCCAGGAAATTGATGATAAAACAAGGATTCATTAGACAGTGACTATTTACCAGGGGCAGGTCGATGGAGGGAATACATGATAAGAACTAGAAAATGTCTGTAAGACATAAATACCCCTATAAAAAGTTACAACCACTTTGATCTTGATACCTTGAAACATGCACACACAAAGTAATACACTTCAAATTGATATATATAGCAACAGTGACCTCGGCCTTGACCTTGGAACACTGAAACAAAAGGATGTCAGAGGTATACCCATATTTGACCTTTATATAAAGTTTGACCAAAATCCGTGAAAGAATGAAGTTTCTAAGTGTTTAAATTGAATCAGTTGATGATTTTCTATATACAGCAACAGTGACCTTGGCCTTGACCTTGGATCCCTGAAACACAACGATATCCAAAGTATACCCATACTTGACCTTTGTATAAAGTTTGACCAAAATCTGTCAAAGAATGAAGTTGCTAAGTGTTTACATTGAATTGGGACGGACATAGGCAACACTATATGCCCCCACATTTTATGGAGGGTTGTACCTTTGTATACAGTTTGACCAAAATTTTTCAAAGAATAAAGTTTGCTAAGTGTTTACATTGAATCGGGAAGGGACAGGAAGGACATGGGCAACACTATATGCCCCCCCCCCCCCCACATTTTATGGCGGGGCATAAAAATACCACAAATTAACACAAATTTTAAATGTTTGAATCCATAAATAAAACTACATACATACATACATACAGTACTTCTCAGGAGTCAAAACAGGTAAGCTCATGACTCGAAACAGTAATAAATGTGAATTTATTTTCTCATTTATTTTTAACAAAATTTGTGTAACACAACATACATGAATTATAGTCTTTGGGCAGACAATTCTAAATATCTTAATGAAAATTAAATGCATCTTTTATATATCTTTTTAAAATCATTCCAATTTAAACTTGAATTCAAACTGTATATGTTTGGATTAAAAAATAATTCACCTGTGAACAAAAGAATGAATGACCCAAATTAGAGAATTTCATTTTGGAGTAAACAGCTTGTCAACCTAAAAGAGCTTTGAATAACATTGTCAATTAGCCAATTGGTGACTTAATCATTCAATATTATTCTTATTTAGCCTGTTTAGTTATTCAACGAATTTTGTTCCTTCCTGTAAGTGACAGTTAGAACACTTATTCTAGCTGTTACAACACAGAGGATGGGGAGATCCGTCCTAATCAATAGCACACCTTTACCAGAGCCATGTTATTACAACACAGAGGATGGGGAGATCTGTCCTAATCAATAGCACACCTTTACCAGAGCCATGTTATTACAACACAGAGGATGGGGAGATCTGTCCTAATCAATAGCACACCTTTACCAGAGCCATGTTATTACAACACAGAGGATGGGGAGATCTGTCCTAATCAATAGCACACCTTTACCAGAGCCATGTTATTACAACACAGAGGATGGGGAGATCTGTCCTAATCAATAGCACACCTTTACCAGAGCCATGTTATTACAACACAGAGGATGGGGAGATCTGTCCTAATCAATAGCACACCTTTACCAGAGCCATGTTATTACAACACAGAGGATGGGGAGATCTGTCCTAATCAATAGCACACCTTTACCAGAGCCATGTTATTACAACACAGAGGATGGGGAGATCTGTCCTAATCAATAGCACACCTTTACCAGAGCCATGTTATTACAACACAGAGGATGGGGAGATCTGTCCTAATCAATAGCACACCTTTACCAGAGCCATGTTATTACAACACAGAGGATGGGGAGATCTGTCCTAATCAATAGCACACCTTTACCAGAGCCATGTTATTACAACACAGAGGATGGGGAGATCTGTCCTAATCAATAGCACACCTTTACCAGAGCCATGTTATTACAACACAGAGGATGGGGAGATCTGTCCTAATCAATAGCACACCTTTACCAGAGCCATGTTATTACAACACAGAGGATGGGGAGATCTGTCCTAATCAATAGCACACCTTTACCAGAGCCATGTTATTACAACACAGAGGATGGGGAGATCTGTCCTAATCAATAGCACACCTTTACCAGAGCCATGTTATTACAACACAGAGGATGGGGAGATCTGTCCTAATCAATAGCACACCTTTACCAGAGCCATGTTATTACAACACAGAGGATGGGGAGATCTGTCCTAATCAATAGCACACCTTTACCAGAGCCATGTTATTACAACACAGAGGATGGGGAGATCTGTCCTAATCAATAGCACACCTTTACCAGAGCCATGTTATTACAACACAGAGGATGGGGAGATCTGTCCTAATCAATAGCACACCTTTACCAGAGCCATGTTATTACAACACAGAGGATGGGGAGATCTGTCCTAATCAATAGCACACCTTTACCAGAGCCATGTTATTACAACACAGAGGATGGGGAGATCTGTCCTAATCAATAGCACACCTTTACCAGAGCCATGTTATTACAACACAGAGGATGGGGAGATCTGTCCTAATCAATAGCACACCTTTACCAGAGCCATGTTATTACAACACAGAGGATGGGGAGATCTGTCCTAATCAATAGCACACCTTTACCAGAGCCATGTTATTACAACACAGAGGATGGGGAGATCTGTCCTAATCAATAGCACACCTTTACCAGAGCCATGTTATTACAACACAGAGGATGGGGAGATCTGTCCTAATCAATAGCACACCTTTACCAGAGCCATGTTATTACAACACAGAGGATGGGGAGATCTGTCCTAATCAATAGCACACCTTTACCAGAGCCATGTTATTACAACACAGAGGATGGGGAGATCTGTCCTAATCAATAGCACACCTTTACCAGAGCCATGTTATTACAACACAGAGGATGGGGAGATCTGTCCTAATCAATAGCACACCTTTACCAGAGCCATGTTATTACAACACAGAGGATGGGGAGATCTGTCCTAATCAATAGCACACCTTTACCAGAGCCATGTTATTACAACACAGAGGATGGGGAGATCTGTCCTAATCAATAGCACACCTTTACCAGAGCCATGTTATTACAACACAGAGGATGGGGAGATCTGTCCTAATCAATAGCACACCTTTACCAGAGCCATGTTATTACAACACAGAGGATGGGGAGATCTGTCCTAATCAATAGCACACCTTTACCAGAGCCATGTTATTACAACACAGAGGATGGGGAGATCTGTCCTAATCAATAGCACACCTTTACCAGAGCCATGTTATTACAACACAGAGGATGGGGAGATCTGTCCTAATCAATAGCACACCTTTACCAGAGCCATGTTATTACAACACAGAGGATGGGGAGATCTGTCCTAATCAATAGCACACCTTTACCAGAGCCATGTTATTACAACACAGAGGATGGGGAGATCTGTCCTAATCAATAGCACACCTTTACCAGAGCCATGTTATTACAACACAGAGGATGGGGAGATCTGTCCTAATCAATAGCACACCTTTACCAGAGCCATGTTATTACAACACAGAGGATGGGGAGATCTGTCCTAATCAATAGCACACCTTTACCAGAGCCATGTTATTACAACACAGAGGATGGGGAGATCTGTCCTAATCAATAGCACACCTTTACCAGAGCCATGTTATTACAACACAGAGGATGGGGAGATCTGTCCTAATCAATAGCACACCTTTACCAGAGCCATGTTATTACAACACAGAGGATGGGGAGATCTGTCCTAATCAATAGCACACCTTTACCAGAGCCATGTTATTACAACACAGAGGATGGGGAGATCTGTCCTAATCAATAGCACACCTTTACCAGAGCCATGTTATTACAACACAGAGGATGGGGAGATCTGTCCTAATCAATAGCACACCTTTACCAGAGCCATGTTATTACAACACAGAGGATGGGGAGATCTGTCCTAATCAATAGCACACCTTTACCAGAGCCATGTTATTACAACACAGAGGATGGGGAGATCTGTCCTAATCAATAGCACACCTTTACCAGAGCCATGTTATTACAACACAGAGGATGGGGAGATCTGTCCTAATCAATAGCACACCTTTACCAGAGCCATGTTATTACAACACAGAGGATGGGGAGATCTGTCCTAATCAATAGCACACCTTTACCAGAGCCATGTTATTACAACACAGAGGATGGGGAGATCTGTCCTAATCAATAGCACACCTTTACCAGAGCCATGTTATTACAACACAGAGGATGGGGAGATCTGTCCTAATCAATAGCACACCTTTACCAGAGCCATGTTATTACAACACAGAGGATGGGGAGATCTGTCCTAATCAATAGCACACCTTTACCAGAGCCATGTTATTACAACACAGAGGATGGGGAGATCTGTCCTAATCAATAGCACACCTTTACCAGAGCCATGTTATTACAACACAGAGGATGGGGAGATCTGTCCTAATCAATAGCACACCTTTACCAGAGCCATGTTATTACAACACAGAGGATGGGGAGATCTGTCCTAATCAATAGCACACCTTTACCAGAGCCATGTTATTACAACACAGAGGATGGGGAGATCTGTCCTAATCAATAGCACACCTTTACCAGAGCCATGTTATTACAACACAGAGGATGGGGAGATCTGTCCTAATCAATAGCACACCTTTACCAGAGCCATGTTATTACAACACAGAGGATGGGGAGATCTGTCCTAATCAATAGCACACCTTTACCAGAGCCATGTTATTACAACACAGAGGATGGGGAGATCTGTCCTAATCAATAGCACACCTTTACCAGAGCCATGTTATTACAACACAGAGGATGGGGAGATCTGTCCTAATCAATAGCACACCTTTACCAGAGCCATGTTATTACAACACAGAGGATGGGGAGATCTGTCCTA